GATCTAGCCAATCGGTTCTCTGAGCACTGTATTGCAAAATGAGCCATCAGATTCTTATGTCCTTGGCATGTGACGATAATACACTATTTAATCATAAATGCAAACGTCATCAAGGCTTCTGCCTGTGCAAAACCACACCAGAAAAGTAAGGATTCGATAGCGGATATTGGTTTTGCGACGGTTTCTATCATTCGTGTCCCAGGCAAATATCCAGTCTCACCTCTCTGTGTCTCTCTATTTATCTGTCTCGCTTTCTATCTTGGCCTGGTTTTGATTGGGTTATTACTTATTTTTGCAGTTTTCGCATTAGGTTTATTTGCACTAGAGTTATCGATATCGACATTATTCCAGTGTTTTGCAATTTTAATCCAATGAAATCGCTGTTTCGAGCATTCCCATAAAACTTGCAAATATTCCTGATTCCCTGACTCATCTGCCTCAATTCTAATAAAAGTTTTCTTCTCTGACCGAACTTGCTGGCTGATACAAGAAAAAAAGATGGCAAAACACAAGATATTTGAATTACAGTCACAGTAAATTGAATCACATCACCAAATGCACTTAAAACAGACTCTGTCTAATAGACTGTAAGAACCGATGATTGGTAGACAGGTAGCTCCAACATCGAGGTTTGACCAGGTTTCGATTTTAAAAAATCTCGTTAGCAAAGTTACACTAAATTACCGAACAACTGTTGCATCACAGTGAACCCCTTCTTTTTTTTTCGTGAAACTTGGCTTGGCATACTCTGCTTATCAAAAAATGTCTTTCTGCAAAAACGAAAGTTGTTTTTAATTTAAACAATTACTCTTGCCATACTTTTGAGTTTTCGAGAAATATCACATTGAAACAGGTCTAATGAATTTTGCGGCGGTTCGATTGCTTCGGCCTTCATTTGTTTTCTCAGATTGTTTTTAAGCTAGGTGGAAAATGCGCCATACTTAATGGCTCGGGTAAAAACAATCTCAACCAACACAAGACAATCAAAACCTTTTGGGGGATATTTAGTTTAAAATTCAGGGTAACACATTTTCAAATAACAGCTCATGCAAAAACAATTTTACAACTGAAATAAACCGTTTCATCATATTTAATCATTTTTACAACTGGGTCAACCGTTATATATAAGTAAAAAGTTTTGTACATCTCAAGAGATTCATTATTAGCTTTAATTTTTTAAACTTTATAATTTATATAACACGATAACGTTTCAAAATGCTCTTATAGAGGATAGAAAACTGAAAATTTGAGCTTAAATTGATCGAAATTGGTAAAAATGATTTGAAAAAATTTAGTAGAAGTAAAGGTGAAGCGTTAGAGAAAAATAAAGATAGTTTATAAGTTGATGAGCATATGTAAAGCGTGATAGTTGAAATGATCAGTAGTAGCGTTAGCTGGTTGTACTCAATGACGGAAAAAAGAAAAGTTTGGTTAGCAATTTTCCTTTTTTTCTTCGACAGACGAAACCAAAACACCCACAAAAAACTGTCGGTCCAAATCGATGTTGGGCACTAAATAGGATAAAGACTAGGCAAAAGAGAACATAGCTATTAACTTGGTGAAAATAAAAGTGATATGGATAAAATTTTACCAGCAGTTTTCCTTTTTTCTTCGACAGACGAAACAAAAACACCCACAAAAACCTGTCAGTCCAAATCGATGTTGGGCACTAAATATGAGAAAAGATTAAGCGTAAGTGAACACAGCTTATAACTCGGTGAAAATAAATTTGATATGGATAACATTAGTTACAGCGTTAGTTGGTTGTACTCATTGGCGGAAAAAAACGAAGAATTTGATTGGCAGTTTTCCTTTTTTCTTCGACAGACGAAACAAAAACACCCACAAAAACCTGTCAGTCCAAATCAATGTTGGGCACTAAATATGAGAAAAGATTAGGCGTAAGTGAACACAGCTTATAACTTGGTGAAAATAAAAGTGATATGGATTACATTAGTTATAGCGTTAGTTGGTTGTACTCAATGGCGGATTAAAATGAAGAACTTGGTTAGCAGTTATCCTTTTTTCTCAGACAGACGAAACAAAAACACCCACAAAAACTTTTCAGTCCAAATCGATATTGGGCTTTAATTATGAAAAATGATTAGGCGTAAGAGAACATAGCTTATAACATGGTAAAAAATAAAAGTGATATAGGCCACATTAAATATAGTTTTAGTTGGTTGTACTCAATGGCGGAAGAAAAAGAAGAATTTGGTTAGAGGTTTCCTTTTTTCTTCAACAGACGAAACAAAAAGACCCACAAAAACCTGTCAGTCCAAATCGATATTGGGCTTTAATTATGAAAAATGATTAGGCGTAAGATCTTGAGTACTAAATAGGAGAAAAGAATAGGCGTAAGAGAACAAAGCTTGGTGAAAATAAAAGTGATACGGATAAAAATTGTTATTACGTTAGTTGGTTTTACTCAATGGCGGAAAAAAGAAGAATTTAGTTAGGAATGTTTTATAGTAAGGGTTTTGTTTCACTATTTTTTCATCCCCATGCCCAGTTCTGTCATCAGTGCAGGGTACATTGATTGAACCAACATCATGTATTGTCGCTGTCATTATCTGAGACAGATCGAGATCTCTTCCGTGTGCCTTCACTCTTTTGATGAAATTCTGTATGAACAGCGAGCCTTTCTCCGGCATGCTTGTGTTACTCTGCGGAGTTTCTGCTCTTGCCACTGTTCCACGTTTGCAATCATTGTTTCGACCGAATCGTAAAAAACTGGGCATTTTTTGAGCATCCTGACCCAGAATTTAAATAATCTACCATTGCGACGGAAGTGCAGGCTTTATAGGTTTCGACTGTTCAGCCAGAAAAAAAACATGTCGACTAATTTCTCCCTGGGAGCTGTTTTGATCGCAAATTATTCCAATCACAAATTGACCCAATTCAGCCGAAAAAAAATTATTTGAATTTGATAACCCAAAATTTTTTGATAGAAAATTGTGCCATTTTTTTATTAAACAATTTTGGGTTAACACATTCAAATTAATTTTTTTGGCTGAAGTTGGTCGATTCGGAAATATTTTTTTGATCAAACCAGCTCCGGTAGAAACCAGTCGAAATGGTTTTTTTTAGCTGAACATAGTGGAACCTATAAAGCCTGCAATTCCGTCGCATTAGTAGTTTCATCTTCAATTGTGTCCCACCGTGAAAAGTTATTTTTATTGAAATCTATAGAATAGTTTTTTTTCATTATGAGGCAAAACTGTGAACTGGATATTCGCATTTGGTATGTGTAGGTCATTGAAAGCCAGAGACAAGTAATTAAATGTGTTCTAATATGTAGGTGAGTTCAACTAACAAAAATGCAATTCTGTAGATTCCCGCACAAATGCTTGTATTCAATTTTACTTTAAAGTATTTAAATATGTCACGAAAACCGCAACAAGCGATTTCAGGTATTTAACCCGGATTCCGCAAATGAAAGCAGATTCCGCAAATGTAACTGGATTCCGGAAATAAATGCGGACTCAGATAACTTTTTGAGGATTTCGCGTACCATTTGCGATTTACTCTTACAGTGTCTGATTTCACGGCAGCGTAATTTTACACATGAATTTTGTTTGTGAAATTCACACACCGTTTCGCGTTCACTAAATTTTGTTGCGGATTCTAAAGTTTTGTTTCGGCCTCACTTGTTGCGTAATCCGCCTTCACTTCGCAAAAAAACGTTTGGTTTCCTATTAATTGACCGTGAAAAGTTGTGAGCGCGAATAAAAAGTTTCCAATGTGGTCGAGCGATAAATTCTCGACCGATAATTTTTTCAACCAAAAGGAGTTCGACCGACGAATCACTTCCAAATGACAAAAAAACTCTGTTGGTAAAACTTGTTTCACCGAAATCAACGAAATCTATATTTTAAGCTTTGTGTTCGATTTCATGATTCGGCGAGTTCGAATTCGACTGTAGGGTCAAATTGCCAAAAATTTTCCGGTTGAACTCTGACATGTGTTCGACCGATCGAAACAAAAATCGCAAACTTGTAAGGGGGGTTGCGCGCCAGCTGAGGTAAGGTGTATCTGATGAGAAAGCCATAAATATATCTGCATATGATCCAACCTTGTCGCCGTGGCCATCATGTCCAGCATTATCAATAAAAAAGAGACAATTTCATTTAGATCTTCGTTTTATATTTTTGAAACAAACAAAATCATAGCAGATATTAGAGAAGCCACATAATCCAAGTGGGAGAGCGTTTAGCAAGCCATCATTCAAAAATGCTGGAAAAGATGCTAAAAATTCTGTCGGCCAGACTATTTTTATTTTGAAACAAAGTTTCAAAGTTTTTTCAAGCAATTTCTAACCATAATTTTCCCTAGCCACATCATTTGAGCTAATAATTTGGTCCAGTTTTAGTATTCGACTATTGAAAATTACCTGCAACATAAGTTTGACGACGATCCATGCCATAATCCATATCATTTCCTTGGCACGCTTGGAAGAAAAATAGCTTTGGTTTTTCTTTCCAATGGTTGTTTTGAACAAATAGTTTAATAATGTCGCTGATTTGGATCAATTTATCACCAGTCCGATTTTCATAAGCGCTCAAATCCAAAAAAGTAGTTATTATTTGTTAATCCAAAGATTTTCAATGATATTGAAAAGCATTTGCATGGAACTAATTTTTCCATTTAAATAATCATCAAGGATTTAGCTTGGAATTTAATGCAACATTACGAGGTCAAATTGTGCACTGCTCACGATTTATTGTCTATATGTTCCTGGTTTCCAAAGACAAGTCTGTAAGTATGTTAAAATTTTGTGGAAACGATCAAAGGAAATGAAATAACAAAAGATGATCAAAGGTAGCGTCCTTGCTGCGGAATCAACTTACAATTCAAAAATGCACAGTTTGACCTTGTAATGAACGGCCAAAAACTAGCTCAATTTCAAGCCAACTTTTCAAGAATTTCCAGTGGACCGATATTAAATTGATTCCTTATATCAAGCTTTGCTAATTCTCCAGTTTCTCCTAAGACCTGACCCGCAGCACCATGACTCATAATAAACACCAGAAGACTTTGAAAATCCGGTTTTTCGGAAACTTCTTTTAACTTGTCACCCATCTCATTGGCTTTCAGATTTGTTGTGTTGCCTTCGTCATGAATTTTGAAATTCATTGATTTTAAAAGAAGTATTAATTCATCGTAATCATGACAAGACTCTCTTCTTTCGTTTTCTTGACCTTAAAACAGAGAACCGTTTCCACACTTGAAAAAAAACACCTGAACAATTTTACTATTTAAAATGCTCAAGCTCATTCCCAAGATGAAAAAACTTTTACCTTTGAATTCGTTGTTTATAACCAAAGCTAGACCAGGCAGTTGTTCGTCCACGTCGTACACAAGTTGCGGTCCCAGCTTTGATAGTATCTTAAAAACAACAAGACTACTCGTATCAGGGTGAAGCCCTGAAAGTTCCGTCTGCCTTTAAAGGTTTTATGGAGCAGAAATCACATTAAAAATTAAATGTAAGAAAAAATTTAAAGAAGTTTTCTTTCTAAAATTTGAAATTTTTTCAGAAAATCATCACCCCACACGCCATACAAAGTATAAAAGGATAGATTTCGCTCCATGTAACAAATCAATTATGGCAAATAAGCTTCTTTCAACCAATTTGGAACGATTTTAAGACGGATTAACTCTCCGCTCACGCGTTAATAGCTCGAAATATATCGCGCGTTAATTGTACCAAATTGGTCAAAATGGCAATCTTTAAACCCCCATAACTTTACGAAAGATGATCACAGGTGAAATGTCTTTTCAATTTTGAGCTCAGGACAACAATACATTTCGAATGATATAAAAAAAATTCCGTCAAAAAAGGCTTTTTTTTATACCTTGTAATGAAGTTTTATGGAGCAGAAATAACATTAAAAAATTAAATGTAAGAAAAAATATAATGAAATTTTTTTCTAAAATTTGAAGACTTTTATGAAAATCATCGCCCCACACGCCATATAAAGTATATAAAGATAGATTTCGCTCCATATAACAATTTAATAAGCTTTAAAAAAAACACTTTTTGGTGTACAGGCAGCCACAGATACCACCAAAATATTCTTGCTTGCGCTGAATGGCGTTTCAGAGTAAATTAGGTTTTGAACTTTTATAGGATAAATGGAGAAAAATATTTTGCTCTCAGTATCAGCTAGTACAGGTTGAATTGGTTGGAATCTAATTTTTGTTGATCTGATTTGGTATAAATGTTTTAGAGAAACTTCTTACTTTCAGTTCGAGTAATCTGTTGAAAGCTGAAGTTCTGAAAATGGAAAGTATTCGCTCGGTTTCTACCAAGGGATACATTAATGGTATTCACTGCCGATATAATTGTCGAGCATAAATAACTTTCACGAGCATAAATAACTTCAGGTTGACAGCTGCGCTGACCAGCTGTTGCGAGAAATGTTTTCGTGTCTTTTTTTTGATGTCGGTAGTTCCGACTTTTTTGCAAAGTTGATTCAATGGAAGAGAGCACATGGACAGGGTCATTTGTCTAACTTATATGTTCGTTTCAAGTATATGCAGCTTGTTATTCTTCGCAGCCTCTTCTGATTGAGTTTAACATGAGAGCGTCTGTAGAAAATTCTGAGGGTATTTCGACCGAACAACTGCTTATCATAGGTGAAGAAGTCAACTCCAGCTGGGACATGGAACCAAAGTTTTGTCGACTTTAGGACCAGTTGTCGTTTAGATAAAAAAACCAGCGGCATTTATCGGAGCAGGATTTTTCACAACAGTTTTCTCCACAATTAATTCTGAGTGTATAGCTTCTTTACTGTTCAAAATTATTGTTAGGATAAAAGTTTTTGTGCGCAGAATTACTACTGACTTTTGAGATTTTTGATCCATTAGCCAATAGAGTACAGTCATCATAAAAGAAATGAAAAATTGAGTTGTTCTCGAGGAACGAAGAATCCGACCTATAAGGACTTGTGTTTTGTATCTCAGGTCAGCTCCAATTGCTTGTCTTACTTTGCATCGTATTTCAATATAAAAATTTTGCAGACCACCAAAACTGTAATGGTCACCGTTGATTTCAATCAAGCATTAGCCCAATATTTAAAAAGATTGGTCCATTTTTGTAATCAAAGGCATTTTCAAAATTGTCAAAAGAAACTGCTTTTCAAAAAAACCAGAGAGCTTTTGATAGCCTCTTTAGGTAACATATCTGCAACTTTATCCCGAAGTTCGATAAAAATCTGCTCGACTTCTCGCTGATCTGTTTGTTCTTCGAATGCTTGGTTTTCATTTTCAAAATCTATCCGTATTTCTTCTTTTTACTTCATTGATACGTAAATTCTCTCAATTTTCACCACCATATAATTGTTCTTATGCTTTTTTCTTATGATGTTTTTTATTTTTGTTTAGGAAACTTCACGTTTATTTGCTATATCACTCGGCTTAGATGCTGCTCTCAACAAGACTCCTATGCTCAATTTTCTTGCAGCCGGCTGAATAACCCGTCCTGCAAACAAAAAGCGATACGGCCAAAACCAGCAGCCAAAGAGCCAACACAACTGCCGCGGTGTCGGTATTGCCCAGAAAAATGAGGTGAAGCTTGCTCTGCATAAAATTAATCCAATTGTTTTTCGTTCAAAGCGTTGATTTGTGGAGTCAACGCAACTTTGCAAGTTGATGCAAAGGGCACTGGCCTCACCGTTTATGTGCGCAACTGTCTTTAAGTGATTGTGCAGATGAAATAAATAATTTGAAGTCGTAACTAGTGAAATTTGTTCGTTGACTGCGTTCAACCGTTTTGATGCGTCTAGCTAAACGTAACAATGGGATTTTTGCATGTCAAACAGTTTGGCTGTGAAAATGTCAATGTAGACAAAAATTAGACTTATTCCACTGGAAAAGTTAAATGAGAAGGAGGAATCCCATAGTAAGATATAAAAATAATTGTAATAAAAACTGTTATTGTCACGTTTTGCGGCGTAGTCTAACAGACTGGTGATTTGGAAAATCGGTAAAGAGATTCTTTTGTTTGAGATCACCCAAATGCTCATATTATTAATGATTTCTTGAGGTCTCCAATTGAAAAAAAAAACTTTGCATTCCAGTTTCGCGTTTATCTCATTGACCAGTTGTTGTATACAAGTGCTTACTTCTGAATTGAAAAAAAAAAATTTCTAGACTTGGAAATTTTATTCCTATTGTCAGCGTTGAACGCACTGTGTAGTCTTTCGGTAGCTCCATATAAATCAATTCTTGAAGCGTAAACTTTTTAAATTTCGTTGGCAGATTTATTTCTAAGAGAAGAGCTTTCCAATCGTTGTCTAAACCAATTTTTTTCGCAAAAAGTGCTTAAAATGACCAAATTGCTGTAGTTTTACAGTAGGAATAGCAATTATTACAAAAATTTTGTCTGTAAAAATTTGCTTGTTACCTTTTCTAAAGGGCATGTCAGTTTTTGATATGCGCACCAAGTCAATAACACAAAACATTTTGTCGCCCTGCTATAGCTAGTTTTTACCAATTTTTTTTCATTAAGAATTTTTTCACAGTATTCATTAAACGATATGAAGCAATTTCAAAGTTTCATAGCTAGAAAATTGTTTAAGCTCGGCATCAAGCTTGTGTTGAGTAACGAATGATCGGTGTTTGGGTTGACCTTGAAACTAAAATAGTTTACCTTGTTATACGATAAATGTAATTACATCAGAGAATCTTTCCAAAAAGTAAATCAATTTTGCCGGATCCTCAAGGGTCTGAAACAGACGTGAACAGTCAATCTTTCGATTAAATATTCTAGTTATTCTTTATCACAAAGTAGGATTTGGTAATGTGTAACCAACTGTATTGGAAAATATCGATTGCCAAATGGCAGTCTCGTCAAAAATTAGGTTTGAAAAACAAACTGATACCAAATTGAAAAAAAAACAGACTCGTGCGAAGAAAACGATTTCCACAGGCAAAAAAAACAGATTTACAAAATTTCCGCAATCTTTTTTCTTCAAAGAAGACTGTTCGACAACACCAACGTCCGCGAAGTCGCAATCAAAAGTCTTCATTGCGGTTTTGTCAATTTCCATTCTTACTAAACATAGTTTTGTAGACATGTCTGAAGAAAGCAACTTCTGCACACGGGTGAGAAACAGATGTACAATTTTTCCACGATCTCTTTCCTTCAAATAAGTACTCTTCGATAGCACCAAAGTCTGCAAATTCGAATCTTTAATCTCAACTGTGGTTTTGTCTTTCCCAATGCTAACTAGACGTTTTTTTGTAATTTCTATCAAAAAAGAACGTTACAGCTGAAAATCAATTCTTTTTCGGTTAGTTTTAATTTTTTCATCTACTTTTTTATGGCTTTGTCTTTCATGTGTATCGGAACATTTTTTTCTGCGTGCTTTGTTTCAGCTTTTTTGTTGAATTTTTTAAAATTCAAACTTGACATGCAATCAACTAGTAATAGGAACATGCAAGTCAACCGCTAATTAGGTAAAAAAGAACTAACAATTAGGGAAACTGTGATTGTTCCAGTTTGATTTCAATTTTTATTGAAAAATGAGCAGAAGCTCTGTTAGGCAATTAAAAGTGTTTCTTCAGCGTTACTAGATTCGACTAAGTCTTTCGGTTCATGTGGAAGCTGTTCGTCATATTAGGAATTTTGCTTTATCTCTACCACTCGAGGTTTTTTCCAGGTTGAGATTCAACAGCTGAATTGCCTGACCAAAATGCTGAACTATAATTGATTTCCGTAAAAAATCGAGTTTGCTACCGTTCAGTGGTTTTTGCTCGAGAGAATTAAATGAGACGGTAGCTTAGAACGAACTATTTCTTGAGTCAATCTTTGGACATTGAATACCTCAGAACATGGTCACGTTTACTTTCAAATAATCAATTTATAGATCAGGCGTTTGTATACTTTCAATTAACCTTAGAAATTTAGTTTCCTCAAATGAAAACTGTCAAATATTTGATCCAATTAGGAGTGGGTGTGTTCGGTTTTGCCTAAAAATAGCCTTTGCAAAAATGTAAAAACCCAAATGGGAGACTTTTTTTCTTCTTTTGATAAGTTTGAATCGTCTTTTGATTGGTGTTGAAGAACAAAAGGAATATTTCAGCAGAGCAAATGACATGTTTCTTTATTATGAGAGGTCTCCTGCCACATTCAAATCCATCAACATCTAAAGTAAGGAACAATTTTTGTTTTATTTTTTCATGCTAACTTGACTTTCATACGCGCTCTTTTGTCTGTGCACCGTAATACGCAATACCAGTCACGTGACCTAAGTAACATTTTTTAACAGAATAAGGCGAAAGAAGTAAGTACTTACATTCAAATTTTTTTAGCAAAAATCTTGTTGCGTCATGCAATATAGCACATCATATAAGAAAGTTAAAATGTTTCAAGTGTGTATCGA